AATCTTCACTACACCACAATCATACCCCACAACCTCACACACCACACTCCTCACTGCATCTCAATCCTCACTACACCACAATAATCACTACACCACAATCCTCACTACACCACAATCATCACTACCCAACTATCACTACACTACAATCATCACTACACCACAGCATCATAACATCACAATAATCACTACACCACAATAATCACTATACCACAATCATCACTACCCAATCACTGCACTACAATGATCCCTACACTACAACCACTTCACAACAATAATCACTACACCACAATAATAACTACACCACAATCACTACGCCACAACTGTTACTACAGGTCTTAACATCGCTATGTATCTTCATATCACTATATATCTTCCCAGTGTTCTATACTTGACAGTTCAGTAAGTAACTCAGTAACTCAGCAAGATCTCGGTGGAGGAAAGATTAATTTTCATTATCCAAAACTTGTGATTCTCGTTCCTAGTATATACACAGCTACGGTTAGTTGTTTAATGGTAACAATGGAGTTCCTGGATGCTGATGTCGTGGAGGATCTTATCCGTACCAAGGAGAGGCTCCTTGGCGAGGGATCTTACGGCAACGTTTATCTTGTGACTTACCGCGACGAACTAGCAGCTCTGAAGACATCAAAATGTCGACAAAAAAAGGATAAAGCTTTAGAAAAATATTGTTCAAGCTTCCTCAAGGAGGCCAAAATTCTTCAAGCCCTGAAAGGAGCCGGTGGCGCCCCTGTTCTTCACGGAATTCAAGACAATCCTTCTGCAATGCTCATGTCCTACAAGGGCAGCCAGAACCTTCTGGACATCTTACAGGGTTCTACATACAACCTCCTTGATGTTGGAATCCAGATTGGCAGAAGTTGCAGGAGATCCACGAAGCTGGTTATATCCATAACGATTTAAAGGAGGATAACATAATCATCGATGGATCAGCTGAGGAACCTCAGGTTAGCATAATTGACTACGGACTGCGTGTCCTAAAGGACGTATTATCTTCATGGAAGGTGATCCTGAAGACTTTCCTTGGTGTGCTCCAGAGATCCTTTGCTGGAAACCATCCACTCCAGCTACTGATGTTTTCTCATATGGGTATGTGATGTCATTAGTCCTGAAAGCACTGAAGAGCTGGCCTAAAGGGTTGGATAACTTAGTCAGTCAGGCTATGGATCCTAACCCAAAACATCGACCATCACTGCGGGAATTGTTGCGTCGTATTGATAAATTCTACGACCCGCTGAGGAGGCAGTGCAAGCAGAAGAACCAACACCAGTACAACAATCTAAAGAAACAACAGTAAAAAAAGCAGAGGGAATAAAAGTAGAAGACAGAGGGAAGGAAGAGGATGAACCAAAAGATGAGCAAAAACGACGAAGAAAAAGAGGAAAAGGAAAACGACGAGGAAAAGGACGATAATAGAAAATGATGAGGTTACTTCCTCTCTTACTTCATGGCCGGACGCAAATTATGATAAAATATTAATAAAAAATTACACAAAATATAAATGACAGTCATAGCAATATTAGATAAAGGATAAATATAAAAATCAATTGACACTAAACAAAATATAAAGCCGAAATATAATAATATACAAGAAGGAACAATAAGCAATGAAGCAACAAGTAAAATAAGAAGGAAATCGTCGTAAGACAAAACAATTACAAATAAAAAAAATCAAACTAATGATGAAAGCAGTATTAAATACAACAAAAATCCAGCACTTTATAATAAAAACGAAATAAACAAGAATAAAAAAAAAAACTTAGGTCGCTTAATTCCCAATGTTTTATATTTTGATTTTTGGTTAACAAAGGAAAGGCGTTAATTTTTTTTGTTTGCTTTTTTTTAACAAAGGAAAAAGGTTTTAATTTTCGTGAGTTATTTGTCCTAATTAACCTTATTTAAACATGACTCAGGAAATCGTAAGGACACGTTTAAAAAACAAGCCTACACGGGGGGGGTTAAACCCCGATCAGAGTCAGAAACTCCAGACCAAAGCGTTGCCCTAAAGCTGAAAAAAATAGCAGTATATGTTAATTATCACCTTTTTGGGGTTTTGAGGGGTGGGGAACTAGCTCCTGGCGGAGGGGACTGGTTTGTGATCGGTTAGACTCGATGAGACTGATAGTTGCAGTACTTCCCAAAATTACTTCCCACCTTTTTGCAAAGTATTTCCCCACCCCCAAGTTTTCAAGTCAGATAATGGCTTCCTATCCCTTAAAAAAATGTTATTTTGCCCCCCTACAACACTGAAAGTCTCGGTGGAAAACCCAAATTTCAACTATTTTAGCCATTAATGGTGTTGGGAATGAGGTTAAATTTCTGGGTTTTGGGTTCCATGGAGACGGGCAAACCAGAAACGAGTAGGCTGCCCATTGCATCCCAAACTTTGCAGCAGTTTTTCTGATGCTTAAAGAGGATAGTTTAACCCAATGATCCACTGACTGATGAAATCTAAAGAAGTATGGGATATCGTGGTTGTCGATGAGCCTGTTCGAATATTTATTGTAGCTCAGTAAAAGGGGGGTAAGAGGGCTTTTAAAATTGAAGGAAATAAGGATTTTTTTTTTGACATTCGGGAGGAAAAAGCGAAAGGTCCCTGAGTGTTTAAAACGGCCATGGTGGATGGGCCCTTAAGAGGAGGTACCTATTAACCCACTGACGCCGAACTTGAATCCCCTGGGTGGGTTCATCACCATATTGCATCCCCATATTCCCCAAACCCTATTCCAATCACCAATACCCATGCGCAATCCCATTTTTCCTACCAATACCCTGCTGCAATCCCCCTGTTGCAAATACCATATTCCAATCATGTTGAATTACCCAAACACCTGTTGAATCCCACATTCCCATCACCCTGTTGCAACACCCTGCTACAATCATGTTGCAATCCCTGTCCCAATCACCTTTTCAATCACCATCACCATGCGCAATCACCATTTTGAATCTAAATTTTCCCAATCAATGTTGCAATCCCCAATCACCTGTTGAAATCACATATTCCAATCCCCCTTTGAATCACCTGCGCAATCACCTTTAATCACCATTTTTGCAACCCCATTTTGCATCGAAATTCCAATCAATGTTGAAATTCCCATCACCTGTTGCAATCACCATTTTAAAATCACCTGTTGCAATCACCATTTTCCCAATCTTAGTTGAAAACCCCAATCCCAGTTGAAACACAATGTTGCAATCACCCAATCACCTGTTGCAACCCCAAACCCCTGTTGCAATCCCCCTTTTTTCCAATCACCTGTTGTTCCCGTTGAAATACTTTTCCCAATCCCCATGTTGCAACACTTTTTCCAATCCCCAGTTGAATCCATGTTGAAATCACCATGTTGAAATCCCCATTTTTGCAATCCCCAACACCAGGTTCAACACCTTTGCGCAATCACCTGTTCAATCACCATGTTGAAACTCCAATATGTTGAAATAACCATGTTGCAATCGCATGCGCAATCACCATGTTGCAATAAATACCGGCTGCAACCATTTTTGTAACCCCAAATTTGCAATCACCTGCGAAATCACCAGTAATCACCATTTTTAAAATCCCGTTGCAACCCCATGTTGCGATCCCCGGGTTTCCCTTGTATCCCTGAACTTAGTGGGTTTTTTTGGATCTCATAAAAAAATAAGCCACAGCACCCGGCCTCTCTCCACCATCCTGGGTGACCACAAACGTGCCGCCATGTGCATCCCTCCCTAAATAAACTCCCCTTTTGCCTACAAAACACATCAACACATAACCAGATAATTGGTGCCATGGGGGGCCCTGGCAAACTGGAATGCGTTGGGATACCTTAGTAAGGAATTGTTCAAGACACGGACACTTTAACATCAGGCCCATACTGGAGTATGAAAACACCAGTTGGAACCCCAAACCCCGGGTCAAACACGTCAATTATAGAGAAAGTGCAAGGTTTGAAAACAAGGTATTTCGGAGTCAGGGGGTTGTCCTACGATAAAATTTTTAAGGGAAATGGGGAGGGGACGTCATGGGGGACAGAGGGAGGGAGGGGCATGATAAGAAATACAAATACTGCTGGAAAAGATAATTAAAAGGGGCAGGCGTTCCCCAGAGGAACACAAAAAAAGGGCTCACAATTAACTAAACTCAACACAAATTTAAAAATTTTCTTAGTCCCCCCAAGTTTTTAAATGGAATAAACCCCCAGCATATGTAAGGCAGGAACCATACAAGCTTTAAACCCCCCCAGGTAGAGAAAGTCTGGATGCGGAGGGGACCTACTAGCGTCGTGAAGAGGGGGGAGGGGCTGAGTATCGGGCCCCTGCAACCACAATTAGGTGAGTCACACACACACAATAAAAAAATAAAAATAAAATATTTTTATATATTTATTTTTATTAAATATAATTAATATACCCCAACACACCACACCCCACAACCCAAACACTGATCTCTGGGCTGAAGAGACTCAACCAAAAACCTTTGGGAAAAATAGCGTGCTTTTGGGCCGGCCGAAGGGCCCCAGGCACCCCCCACTGCATGTTTAGGCCCCCTTTTTTTGCACTGCCCGAAGGTCCGGACGGGAAAAGGTGAGGTCGGGGGCCTGCCAATCTTCCTTTAAAAAAAACACGGGATGTCATCCTTTTCCATTTTTTTTAGCCCTTCTCCCCACCTTGGGGCCAAAAACCTTGGCGTCCCCTTAGTAACGTTTTCCAGGAACCCAACCCCTTTCAGGAAATGGTAATGACTGCGTACCCCTGTTAAGGTCGTAGGCTCGAGTCCCTTCAGCCAGAGATAGTGTTTGGATATTTTTCCCGCTCTTTTCGAAATTTTTGATATATATATATAAATACTAATATAATATATAATAATATATATCTACCCGTGGTAATATATTAGTACCTATGAAACATCGCAATGATGTTTACGAAGTTATCTAAGAATTCCAGGATGCTTAGGGATTTCAATAGCGTTAATCACTCGATCTGTTAATTTGTTCCTGTTACCGTACACATGTGTTGAATATTTGAAGGTGATTGGAAAACACTTTTTCCATCACACTCAGACATCAGTATACGACCTAACACACGTTCTGGTATGCAATCTCTTGGTCTTGTTTGTGCATCATGTGAAGTATAGAAACCAGAAGGACGAAATTTTGATGGATAGTTACGGAATTACACTGTCGTGAAGCTAGCGTCTCAATGATATTACGCATCGTTGATTTCGCCCTCTTTGAGCCCTAATTTTGGTCCAGATTCCATTGTTCCAGTCCAACGAACCCTCAAAGCTTTTCGCTAGAAACTACTTATTTCTGTCGACTAGTGTCATGAAACTGTCCTTTTACTTTTTTTGAACTACCAGTAAAGTGATCTGAAATTACTAAATTAGCCAATTTCACACACAAATCAAGAAAGGCCAGTTTCAAAACAAAGTCCAGCATAAACAATGCAAAATAATCCGGCACTTAAAATAACAATCATCTCTAAACCAAAGTCATTACTATACACTACAAAACAATCATCACTACAGTCATTACTGCGCAACATCATCACTACACCACAATAATCATTACACTACAATCATTACTGCGCTTCAATCACTAACAACACAAACATCACTACATTACAGTGTTTGCGAATAAGAAATTATCTAAGGAACTTTCATGAATGTGGTCAGTTACTAATTTTCCCTTCATTGGCAACAAGATTTTGGGATCAGAGTCTAGTTAAAGGTATTTTTTGAGTCTATGGGAAAATTACTTTCAAACTGGAAACTCCATAGAATAATATTCAAAATTTATTAAAAGTATAATAAATACAATACTTTATCTTTTCTCAGTATCTAATATTATATCTTAATACTTTTGTACAATAAATTTACAAAAATAACATAGTTCAAAAAACATGGAAGTATCACCTTAATAAGGAAGATAATTTCTTCCTGTAATTAAGTCTTCACTAATTTTAACATCTTCGTCTTACAAGACTGTGAAAACTCAAACTAAAAATGTACAAGATTCAACAAGACTTTGCAATCCGGCCGTAAAGGATGAGAAAGCAAGAGTTGTCTGAGAACATGTATCACTTATGGATTACTGAACTGACCAAGA